AAGAATTTAAGAATGGGAAAGACACTGCCTCCTTAATGGATCGTTGGTGAGCAGTGAATCCTTTAAATATCAAACTAAGGTAATCAATAGCAAGAATTATTACAAGAATTATTACAATGAGTTGCAGGGTTGACATCATCAATGTAAACAATCAATCAGGTGGTCCAGGAGGGCAAGCTGGGCATCTGGGCCCAGAGGCACCAGCAGTGGGGTGTTCATGGGCGCAGTCACCAAGGTACAATTTGGCATTATTCCTGTCTGCAGAGGTGCATTTGGCCCTCTGATCTGTCCAGAGATTCTGTGAGCTTCCCTTTAAAAAATTTATTTTTCTGCTTAAATTAGCTAGAGTGGATTCTGTTGTTTGTCATTGACACTCTGTCTGATAAGCCCTTCAAATAACATTTAAGAAACACAGGTATGTGGTCAAAGTGGTAAGTGTGAGGGGAAAACAGTGCTCAGTTGGTAGGAATGTTGTTCCAACCTTTTGAAAGGGCAATATGGAAGTGTTGATGAAAATTTTAAACATAAATCCCCGTGACCCAGAAATTGTACTTCTATTCTAGGAACTTCTCTTACATATTTAAACACACTTTCATCACTCAACAAGTCTATACTAAAAACTACTAGGTCCTGGAGATACTGCAATAAACAAACAAATCCCTACTCTCAAAAAAAAAAGAAAAAGAAAAATCCTTACCCTCTTGGAACTCACATCCTGAGGTGGAATGGTAGAGAGAAAACAGATAGTAAAGAAGGTAACACTTCAAAGATACAATATGTTAGAAGGTGAAAAGTGCTAAAGGGAAAGGAGAATGCGGGAAGGGGAACCAGGAGGTGTTAGGCACTTAGTAATTTGTGACCAGGGAAGACGTTCATGTGAGTAAAGACTTGAAAGAGGTAAAAGATTAAGTCTTATGGTATTTGGAAGAAAAGAGTTACGAAAAGAGGAGATGGCAAGTGCAAAGGCCCTGAGGCAGAAGCATACATGGCACATAAAAAAATAGGCCACTAGGAAGCTAGTGTGGCTGGAGCAGAGTGGGACATGGTTCAGAGAGGTAATGGCTTTGGGGGCAGACAGTATAGCTTTATAGGCCATTGTAGGGATTTTGGTTTCTCTCTGAATTTGAGAAGGAAGCCACTGGGAAGTTTTGAGCAGAGAGGGATAATATATGACCTGACATTTTAACATGACTATTCCAGCTGCTGGATTGAAAGAGGGCAGGACAGGGAGCCATTCAGGAGGCTATTCAAATAATCCAATCAACAAATGGATAGTGGCTTGGAGTTGGCAGGATGGGAAGGTAGCAGTGGAGTGGGGAGATGTGGTCAGCTTACAGGAATGGGCCGAAGTGTAGGGACAAAGATGTTCAAGGCAATGTTGTTTGTAATTGTGAAAAACTAAAAATAACCTAAATGTTTAGTAACAGAAGGCAGGTTAAATAATTAACCAGGTTAAATTATGGTAATTTTTTTAACTTAAAAATTATAGGGGTGCCTTCCTTGGATGTCTGAGCGATTGACAAAAAAAAAAAAAATTATAGGGGTGCCTGGGTGGCTCAGTCAGTTAAGCATCCGATTCTTGATTTCCTTCGGCTCAGGTCATGATCTCAGGGTTGTGAGATTGAGCCCTGAATCGGGCTCCGTGCTGGGCATGGAGCCTGCTTAAGATTCTCTCTCTCCCTCTGCCTCTGCCCCTCTCCCCAAAAAATGAAAATAAAAGTAAAAAATAAAAAATAAAGAGGGCACTTTTTATGATGAGCACTGGGTGTTGTATGTAAGTGATGAATCACTGAATTCTACTCTAGAAAACAATATTGCACTGTATGTTAACTACCTAAAATTTAAATTAAAAAAACCTGCAGTAGTTGAAAGCATGTATATTTTTTAATTAAAAATCTAAGCGAATAATACTCATTTTTTAAAAGATTTTATTTATTTATTTGACAGAGAGAGACACAGCGAGAGAGAGAGAACACAAGCAGGGGGAGTGGGAGAGGGAGAAGCAGGCTTCCTGTGGAACAGAGAGCCCAGGACCCTGGGATCATGACCTGAGCCAAAGGCTTAACGACTGAGCCACCCGGGCGCCCCGAATAATACTCATTTTTAATGCTATTCAATTTCAGCAAAGAGGGATATGATGCAGTTTCAACAAAAGCATGTTTTTGGACCATGAAATCATTTTGTTTGGTAATTAAAAATGCAAACCTAGAAGCATTGAAATTAGAGTTTCTTATTTTAAAAAGAGTCAAACAAATATGCACCTGCATTTGTCAAACTAGGGTACTGTAATTCATGACTAGTCACTACAAAGCACATACTTCTATTCTTTTATTTTTTTATTATTTATTATTATTTTTTTTTAAGTAAACTGTAGGCTCAACATGGGGCTCAAACTCATAACCAGGAGATCAAAAGTGGCAGGCTCTACGGACTGAGCCAGCCATGCGCCTCTCTATTCTTTTTTTAAAAACAATTTTTGGTACAGCAGATATAGTCTAGAAATTGAGGAAACAAGATACTAGACAAGTGATGGTTTTTACTTAAAGATTGGCTTTGCTGTTACAAAGCATCTAAGATCTGAATAGGCAAAAAGATTTGTCTAAGGGTTGAAACTGGAAAGTGGATATGTGATTCTGAATCCACATAAGGCCAGGTATCCATCTAGTGGAGGCTAAAAACCATTAGATAAGAATTATCTCAATATCTCAGTGATCATTTATTAATCACTAACTGTATGTCAGGCACTGTGCCTTGTGTTTTTTATGACAACTTCTGACTTTACAATACATAATCTAATTTCACAAATTTGTCCAAAGTCGTTAGCTAAAAAAGAAAAAAAAAAGGAAGTGCTGAAACTCATACTTGGATTATCTCATGCCAAAACCCATCCTCTTTCTGCTATTACTACTCTGTAACAGGGAGGGTATTAATCAGGATTGATTTTTGAGGCTTGTTCTTGGGAAAGAATAGCGTATCCATTAGGATTGTATTCAATTGCTCGTGACACAGCCCCTGGTGTGTTGCCCTGTGTCTTAAAACAGCTGCTCCTCCTCCAACTTTACAAGCACCTCACAGCAGGAAGGAAACAGAAGGAGAAATGCGGTAGCAACTGTATTAGGAAAGTACAATCTCAGGATGTGCTAGGCAACTTCCTCCTACATCTCAGTGGCCAGAATCAAGTCATCTTGACTGTCCCGCAAAGATCTCTGGGAAGATGAGCATTCCCGCCCCCCGCCCCGCCCCCACTCCGCCTATTGCCTTTCTTAACAAAATCTGGGTTCTCTTAGAAAGGGGGAATGGAGATCAGGAAGGCAGTGAGCAATGTCCGCCCCATGAAGAATATTGGGCAGATCAAAGATGTTGGGGGAGGAATAGTTACCTCAGAAGTGCTACAGGATCAGGGGCATTCTAGGGGCTCTGGGCACCACTGTTGAATTTTGTTGCAAGAAAGGCAAGGAAATGTAGTCTTTGTTCTAAGTGGTCCTAGGATCCAGCTTCAGTTCTGTTATCATGGAAGGAGAGAAGAGACATTGGGGAACAACCAAGGGCTCTGCCTCAGTCCCTCCACAGGCCCCTGAGACAGAGTTTCTCCTTGGGAAGGCGTCTGATGCGCACAGCCACCAGCTCTGGAATCTTTTCCAGACAGGCGGAGCCTGAGGGCAGTTGCTGACACAGGCTTTGGGAATGGAGGGAAAGCAGAAGGCACTCCGGGGCTATCTGGGGATGCTGGGAGCACCTGAAGACAAATTCAGTCTGCTGGATTGGCCTGGAAAGTGTCAGTAAGAGTGAGGCTAGCCCCTCAGAGTCACCTCTTCCCAACTCTGTCACTAGTAAGTCTTCATTTCGTTCTTGGGGGAGTAATAACCCTACCTTGTAGGGCGGGTGTGAGCTTAGTTTCAAGTGATGCATGTCCAGCTCCTGTTTTAATATACACTCCATAGATGGCAGCTGTTATTTTTTATAGGAGCACCATCTGGCCCCCCACGGCCCCGGCTCTAACTCAGCTGACATCCTCTCCTTCTCAGCTATACTGACTCACATACCATTCCTCTTACCAGAATATGCACGCCCTGCCTAGCTTTCTGCTTCTGGCTTTGCTCACGGTGGAATCCCGGCTGGAACGCTTCACATGCCGGTGAATCCTGTAGTCCTTCATGACAGCTCACCTCTCCCCTTCAGGAACTCTTCTCTGGGGAGGTCCTCGGTTCCCTTGGCAGCGCGTACTTACTTCTACCACCGCTCGGTTCTTATTGCACCCTCTGGCGGGCGTTTACTAGATTCCTTGTAAAGCCAGGCCAGGCTCTCTGAGAGGTTAAGAGAGGCTCAGGCCAACTCCCCTCGTTCAGGGCTCTGCATGAAAAGGAGGAGGAAATTGTGCCACATTTTAAATGTTTCAACGACTGGCAAATTGTAGGTATTCAACAAATACTTACTGAATAAATACAACATTTTAGCACCGTTGTTGACGAAAAATAAGACAATGCAATACAATTGTGCTATTTGCAAATGTGCTATTTGCAGATTTTTATATAAAAAGGTGAATTCATAGTGCACTACAGGCAGTTGCTTGGTGGCATGCATGTTTCAAGCTCTGTCACCCTGTGTGTACCTTCATCTGGAGACAACTGCCAATGGTCCCCTGCCCACCCTGCAGATATAGGAGCTCCCTGGGTTGGGGCTAGGGCCTCCAGGCCTGGTACGCGGAAGGGGGTCTCACTGAGCCGCGGGAGGCTCCGGCTCTCCCCATCCTCCATCGCCTTTCGCCCCCCCGCCAGCAGGCGGCGTCCCTCCGGCCAGCCTCCCACCGGGGTCGCGACGGGGCGTGCGCGCTCACAGGCTGCCCGGCTCGGACGCCCGCACTTCCTGGTCGCAACGGGCCTAGCGGCGGCGGGGTCCCACCGCAATCTCAGGGGCCGCGCTCGCTGCCCCCGCCCTCCTCCTGGTAACGCTCGGGGCGGAGCCGGGCGGGCGCGCGGGGCTCCCGCCCCTCTCCCGGCGGTCACCTGGGGCCGGGCGCAGCAGGTGTCTGGTCTGGCGCCCAGCGCCGGGGACTCGGAGCGCGAGCCGGGACCCTCGACGCGTCGGGTGAGTGCGAGGGCCGGCAGTTCGCCGCTGCTTGCCCGCCCCGGGCTTCGGGTGGTCCGTTCCACCCGCGCCGCTCGCGGCTTCTCCGGCGGGCGCTGGGCGCGTCGAGGAGGGAGACGAATTTCTCTTTCAGGGATTCAGAGGCTGGGGTTTCTCCACCACTTAAGAGATCGTGGAGTGGGGCGGGGGCCCTTGGCGGAAAGCTGCAGACGCCGGAGCCTCACCGCTTGGGCTTGGGGGTTATCGCGTAGTCTCCGCGCCGGCTGTCTGTCGTGGGTTTGGGGTCCGGGGGCCCGGGGATGAAACCCGGTGGCCTGGGTTGGCCAGATACTCGCACCCTGTCTCTCCAGTGGAGATAGCTTTTAAACATGATAAAATAGGTGATGTTTTAGAAATGATGTATGTAATTTTTATTCTTCTGGCACCCAGGAGTGGGTGTAATCAGTCACGTACACAGACGCACGTGTGTTCGTTGGGGCGGACTCTGCGTTCCCTCTCCTCGCCTTTCGGCGTTGGGGACTGTGCCCCCGCGCGCCCGGCGCTGGGATTAAGCCTCAAGGTTTTTGCGGGGCTGTTTGTTCGCGGAGACCGTGGCGTGCTGGTTGGTTCCTCTGTCCTGGCTGGCTCAAAATTCTCCCTCGATAACCTGGGACTGCCCTCCGGAACTCGTTAGCTGAAGCTGCCTTTTCTCACCTGAGCAGGTGAGCCCAGGGACTTGGCGGCAGGGCCCACCCCCGGAATTCCAGAGGCGACCGCAAGGACCCAGCTGGCGAAGGAAGGTCCAGCAGGGAGGAAACGCGCTCGCTTCGCCCCACCTTGTGCAAATGACTCGGGTAAGGCGGGGGTGTGCTCAAACCCCAGAAATAAACCCACACGGATCAGAATTGCAAAGGACACGTGATTGAGCGTTTGGCTCTGAGAATTGCTAATAATCGCTCGGGTCAAATCGTTTCGCTTCTACTTTAAAGATTTTTTTTTTTTTTTAACTTCTTTAATTATAGAAACGACTGCTTAATATACGTATCTGATTTTCTTGACAAGCCTCTAAGACTGGAATCTTCTTGTGGTATCCGCGGTATTGAATTATTGGGAATTGCCAGTAGAGATCAGCCTGGCCGCTCTGAGAATCACTGGGAAGGAGAACCTGCAGTTTAAACACTGTTGAAGAGATCTGACACGCAATGCAATGTGCGAATGTTGGTTGGATCCTGAAGGAAAAAAGTTCATAAAAAATTGAGCTGATAAAGGAATTTTTACTGGCTAGTTGATAGTATTAAGATTGGTTTTGTTATTTTTGGTGATGGCATTATGATTATGGTTTTTTTTTTTTTAAGCTTTATCTTTTAGAAATACATACTGAAGTTGAAATACAGGTGGAGGATTTGCTTCGAAATAATTTAGTTTGGGGGAGCGCTGCTAGTGGAAAAGTGAGGGGGGGAGCTCCAAAGGAGATTGGCTGTGAGTTGTCGCTAACGGGATGAAGGGTGGAGTATGGAATTCCTTACACTATTGTCTCTACTTTGGTATGTTTGGCATTTTCCTTTAAAAGCAACACCACCACCATCACCACCAATGGAACTTTATTTTTGCAGAAGGTAGGTTTGGAAGGCACTGCTGGTGTTTCTAGATTCCAGACCTTCGTTCTGCAGACCCTCACTCTTTGTAAATCGGGTGTAAAGCCTGCCTCTCCAGACTCATTAAAAAGTCGTCTTTTTCTCCCTCCCGCGGAGCTGCTTTATTATTATCTTTGGGTTTTTTTGCTCTGAAGGCATCGGGTGTTGCTGAGTGTGACCGAGCTGAGGGGATCAAGTTGATGCAGGTGGATGCTGGGTCAGCTTTTTTTATACAAAGAGTATTAGCAAGCTGGAGATTGAATTGTGTGCCAACAGACAGGTTGTGTAAAATGTGTTAGCAATTTTTCTGAACTGCCCAAATACTTTCCAAGTTAATGCTCATCAAAAAAACAGAGCTCAGAGTAGTAAACACACGACTTACCCACTTAAGATGTGTGTATACTTGTGGAAGCATGCTATACATCAATAAAAAGTGTACATTATAAAAACAAATCACAGGGTCAGTGGAGATGTACTTACTGCCTGAAAGAGATCTTATCTGTTTGTATTGTCCTTTTCACCTTGTTTGCCTTAGGCATCATGATGTGTAAATATTTAGCAAAGAATTGACTCCTAAAACATTCTGCCCTGTTCTTTTTGCTTTCCAAGAACCTGCTTTGAAGGAGAGGGACGTGGGCAGTAATATCTATATAGTCATCCAACTTGCTCATTTTTTTTCTCTAGATTTATCATACAATTCCTACTCATTCTGTCATGCTTGATTAGTAATTTGGGAATGTGGCGATTGTGTGAGGGGGCTGTTAAAATTTGGGTTGGGGAGAGGCATACTCCTAAAAGATAAACCTGCATTTCTTAGTAGCTTCGGTGGAACTGACTATAATGCCTCTTTGCTTTTAAGAGAAAAACTAAGTAAATGATACTGTGATCGTTGAAAGTTGAAGTGCTAGATCAACCTAGCCCTTGCTGGTGTGGTTCCACTAGTGGAAAGAAGTTGTAAAGATGCCGTAAGTCAGTCCGTGGAGGAAATGCCAAAGCATGTCCCAGTTTTGTCACAGGGTGTGGGAAAATGAGAACTGACAAAAATCCCTTACAGTTGGAAAATGTCATAGTGAATTTTTGATGATACTTAAGTGTAGCCGTTTGGCCTGTGGCTCAGTTTTCTTTGTGTGGCTAAAAGAAAGATGCAGCTGGTTAAGTGACTTTATTTTCTACCTCAGTTCTCTGAAACAAGAACGTGGAGAGAGAAAACAAACTTGCTGGGCCCTTAAGTGACCGGTCAGTGACCTAATGTTTCCTGGCCTCTGTGTGAGGGTGGGGGGATTCAGCCCTGAGGAGTTGATTGCTAATAGCAGTTTTAAGGAATGACTACAACTGTGATTCCATCTTCTGCCCGCATCACGTTATGGAAGGGTAGAAACACATTAGGGAAGCAAATTAGTGCTTTGTTGGCCTTGAAATGAGAGGAAAAGCTGTTGGCAATCAGGTCAATCATACTTCTCTAGTTTGTAAGCACCCTGCTTTCATCTGCACCACTTCATGCCATCCTGTGGGGTTAGAACAGCGGTGCTGGAGCATGATTCTAGTTTCTAACAGATGAGGACAATGAAATCTAAAGAAGCTAAGACTCAGCCAAGTCAATTCTTTAGAGATATGGGGGAAAGAAATTTGGCATTTATGAAGGGTTCATGGTAGTCTTCACACACACACACACACACACACACACACACACACACACGTTTTTTAAGTCTCACAAATCTCTCAGAGTTGGTATCATCAGCCATTTTGCACATGGAATTGTAGCTAAGAGGGGTTGGTTAATAGTTCACTTGAGGCCTTGCATCTAGTAAGAGTAGAGCCAGGATTCAAACTCAGATCTGTTGAATTGTAGTGTTTACATGATTCTCCAGCCTCTGTGCTATCCACACTGCCTTTTTTATTTTATTATGTTATGTTAGTCACCATACATTACATCATTAGTTTTTGATGTAGTGTTCCATGATTCATTGTTTGCATATAACACCCAGTGCTCCATGCAGAACGTGCCCTCTTTAATACCCATCACCAGGCTAACCCATCCTCCCACCCCCCTCCCCTCTAGAACCCTCAGTTTGTTTCTCAGAGTCCATAGTCTCTCATGATTCACCTCCCCCTCCGATTTCCCGCCCTTCATTTTTCCCTTCCTGCTATCTTCTTTTTTTTTTTTTTTTAACATATAATGTATTATTTGTTTCAGAGATACAGGTCTGTGATTCAACAGGCTTACTTCACAGTGCTCACCATAGCACATACCCTCCCCCACTGTCTGTCACCCAGCCACTCCATCCCTCCCACCCCCACCACTCCAGCAGCCCTCAGTTTGTTTCCTGAGATTAAGAATACTGCCTTTTGCAGACAGCTGAGCTCCACACCCGAGTTGGTTAGCCTAGGCAAGCCGTCTTTTATTGACCACTCTCAGCTGCCTTGGTTACAAACTGGGGGCATGGGCCATATTCAACCAACAGATGTTTTATCAGGCCAGCAGAGTTAAAACTGAACCAGTGGTGCAGATTGGGAGATTGAAATATTCTGTGCCCAGGGATTCCCAAAGGCAGTACGGAGCAGCCTCCTCCCTGGCGCAGAGCAGCCCCCCGGGTTCCCCTGGTCTCCGCTACTCCCTGAAGCGTCTGCCATCTCGAGGCAGGGCCCCACACATCGGCGATGCTGTTTCTCCCACAGTGAGCAGTCTTTTTGTGGATGCCTCTGTCCAAAAGGGGATAACAAAAATAGGTCGAGGGGGGCCTGGGTGGCTCAGTCAGTTAAGCGCTGCCTTCGGCTCAGGTCACGATCCCAGCTGGGATCAAGTCCCACATCAGGCTCCCTGCTCAGCGGGAAGTCTGCTTCTCCCTCTCCCTCTGCTGCTCCCCCTGCTTGTGTGCTCGCTCTCTCTCTAATAAATAAATAAAATCTTTAAAAAAAAAAAAAAAGGTCGAGAGGCTCTTGTCTCAAGAAAAATGGGAAAGTGCATATTCACTTGAGGGAATGAAGAGTCTTGTTTTCTCTGCAGTGTTTGCATGTCAGAGGTACAAGGTACGTCATTTCCCTGCACCCTGCCTGCTTGGGCTTATCACACACAACTTTAGTTCCTGCCCCTGCTCTACAACACAGATGGAGTGCTGCATTGTGGGCAAGCCACAGTGGAGAAAAGGAATGCCCCCAATACCCAAACCACTAACTCTTTGTGAGTGGGAGTATGGGTCTCGTGCACCTTGGGATTCCCCAGGGTGTCCCGTGGGGATAGGGATCCACTGGGATCCACATGGATCCTGGAGCTTGGGTGTTGGCTCTCTGGAGCTGCTCTGAGGGTTCTGAGGACTTGCAAGGGTACTCCCCACCCTCCGTTCCTGCCCGCCCATCTCCAGCCTGGGACAGGTCTGCTACACGCTGCTTGCTTACGAGGGCTCTGCAGGAAGGAGGAACTGAGATGCCCACAGCCCAGCCTTAGAGATTTCTGTGATACAAGTTGAAGGATGGCCCAATTTCCTCATCTTGACACTTTCAGTTAAGGGTCATGGAACAGATGTTCTCACCTCTGTCTATATCTGGAGTTTTATTACAGTTGAAGCTTCTGTTTTGATCTTTGTTTCCTTCCCCTGAAGTCTTGAGTGTTCACAGATCGGGTGTGGGGGGGAGGGTCAAAAAGGAAGAGAAAATACCACAAATGGAACCTCGTGGAGTGGTTTTGAGGAAATGTCAGGTGATGTTTTGGGGTCTTTGTCACTAGAACTGTCTGTAGGCATATACATACAGTAAGGTGATAGAAAAGAACAAGTGAGGGCTGTAAGTAGAATGCCTTGTTTAGTTGAAAGACACAAGTTTAGAGACTGAGGTGTTTGGGAAATGCCAGAATAGCCAGTTGATTGGATCCTTTCAGAACTCAGATTCAGGTTTGTGGGTGCGTGCTCCCTCAGATAGGAGATTACTGAGTCCCTGGTCAAACAGACAGATGGCAAGGGAAAGCGGCTGATTGGTTATTGGCCAGACCTAACAGAGGTGAGGTGGAGGGATCCTGGGTGTGGACTGTAGCCAGATCTCTGGATTTATTTCTGGTTTTTCTACCTAGCTGTGTGTCCTTGACCAATTTTTTTTTTTAACCACTCTGAGCCTCAGTTTTCTCCTCTGCAAAACGGATGTAATAATAATCCCCATCTTGTAGAGCTGTGTGGATTCCATGGCACATCAAGCCTTACGGAATAAGGATTCACCGGGGTTTAGCTATTATT